TGTACCTGGACCTTCTTTTCTGGCGAAGATCTCCTTCATCCTCAGATTCTATTTCAGAGGTTGGACACATGGTTGAGGTGTATTTGGTCTCTCGTTTTTTGGCTTCAGTAAGGGTCTCTGGAAAGAGCAGAGGTAAAATCCCCTTTTACATATCTGAAGTCCAGTGTTGAACCAAAATATAAAATAAAAATCACATCTGAGTCAAACGCTCTTATCATCCGATATCATATATCATGTCATTCTGGCCAATCACAATTTGCATCCTCACTTTTGTCTTCAATGATTGAGTTTACACAAAACATCAAAGCTGAAGACAGGCAGGACTATCGCCCCTCAAAAATATATATACTGTATACTTGGTTTAATGTAACCAACTAAACAAACTGTCAAAATCGTGATCTCATGTCTCAATAGGTGAACATCCTTGAAAATAAGCATATATTGAGCAAAATGATCTAGGAAACTCACATGACATTATGAGCTTGTAGAACAGTGGTGTACACAGTGTGTTGCACTGATTACTCACCACATGTAGTAAGGATGRGTACATCCTTATAGGTAATCCATTTATCATCTGGTTGTATTCCATCTCGAAGGGCTTTTTTCAGTGTTATGTGTTTAGGGGGCCATAACAGTGTATTTTCTTTAGGTTCAAACCAACTCTGTAGAYCTACTGCTGTCCCACCATTTGGGAACTGTACAACTGACCACAGTACTGCCTCACCATCCATCTTCAAGTGTCTAGGGAGGAAATGAGAATTACTCGTAATGGTTTCTTCTTACTAGCTATTCCCATAGTATCTTATAAAGCCAAAGTTCACTACACACATTGCAAAATTTGCCCAGCCAAACATGTTATTTGCGGATGTAATCTTGTGCTAATTTCATTTATGAGGTAATTTATGCCCCAAAATCTGACCTTTGGGTCACTGTGTCAATAAAAATGACTATACTTTGGCTTGCATTTTGGTAGGACAAAATTATTATACTGCTAAATGAAGTAGTGGTATTGCAWTGGCACCATCTCCGTCTGGAGAGAGAAAGCATTTGCGCTTGATATGGCCAAGTTTACTTATCCCTACARCTTCTTGCAAGCCACTGACCTTGTATGTACCAGTGTARGATGATTCACATGGATACATGTAGTATGGCTGTTTATGACTGTACATTCTGTAAATTATATATACATCTTCCTCTGATTTAACAATATTCTCTACTAATGCAAATCCATCTCCAACCTCAACACAATTGTCTCCTTTCTTTGTGGACAAAGTAAACCAATGAGTGGAGACCTTCCTGTACTGTTGTGAGGAAATAAACAGTGGGGGGACAGGCCCATCAAAGTGGGTGTTGCGCAAAARAGGAACATCTGTGGGAGATGGGGATCGAACATGTGGAATTTCAGACAACCTTTTAACTACCTGTTGTAGTGGCTGATGTGGCTTGCGTAAGAGATGCTTAATTTGACCAAGACAGTTCTCAAAAGGAAATCCTGAGATATTATCTAGAGAACCAAACCTCCTGTATTCCTCAGTCAAATGAATAAGCTGGTGTACGTTGTACACAATTTCATCTTTTCCATACAATGCCCCAAAGTGTACAACGAAAGAAACCATCAACTTGTGCGCAAAGGCTAACATTTCCTCAGAAATACTAGGGGACAGCAACAAGTACATTCCAACAGAAAACAACATGAAGTTGTCGTACAGCTCACTGGGGAGTGAATCCTTTAAAACAACAGGACTCCAATACAACATGAAGGATCGCAACTCGGTAGCTTTCCATCGATCTATCTCTGATAGTCCCCTTGGTTTACGGTTAAATTCACAAGGCATGTAGGAACGTAACTTTAGCAGTTTATCCGAAATGACTTCTACAGTTTGGGAAGGAACCCTTGTTGCCAAATGTTTCCCCTTTAACCATATATTAAGCAATTTTCTTGTAACTCCAAGACAACAGAGATGCATGTAATCAGCTGGAAACATAGAAACCATTTTAACTAAACCAGATAAAGGACTCTTCCC